ATTAATAATTTTTGACTAATATTAATTACTATTAACTAATATTAACAATAATTAATTTTTATTTTTTTATTAATAACTAATATTTATTTATAGTTAATAGTTATAAATAATAGAATAAACTACGATTTCCGTCCTTGTGATTTTTATCTTTGTGATTTTAAAAATTGTGATTTTCATCTATACGGTTTGTAATTTATTTATGTTTCTGTCTCTTAGACTAAATATGTTAGAACTCTTCCATTAACTAGGGGTATTTCAGTCTTTTCAACTTATTTTCATTTTTTGGTTTATAAGATATACTTTTGCTTTCTTTTTCGTATTTTTGTCTCTTTGATTATGTATTTTTTGATAAAGAATTAATAGATAAAAAACACTATTTTATATTGTTATTGTTTATGATTAAATAACTAAAATATTTTAATACAACTATTTTTTTTTATATTTTTGATCATTATAGTTTTTAGTTTTGTATGAGTTCGATTTTGTCACTCTATAACATTGTCCAAGTGCAAACCGTTGAGTATACTCACATAATTAGAGACCAAAAAGACTATATACTTTTTATAAGACCAAACAATTAACAATCTTTAAACTATTCTTATAAAACAAAAGCGTGGAATTTTATTAACAAGACCTACAATTTGTTTGCTCTCATAAGTCATTTGATTATTCAAACAAATACACATCTTATATAATTGTGTTACGATAAGTTAATAAAATTATACTTTATATTAAATAAAGTTGCATAGATTTATTTGGTAAAAAAAGCCTTATATAGGTTTCTTTGGCCCTACAAAAATTTAATTATTTAGCCACTAATGTAGAAAAAGAACTAAAATATTATCATGTGAGGGTACTCAATGACTTGCACTTGAATGACGTTAATCACATAAATCGAACAAATAAGAAACTAAAATTATAATGACAAAAAATATGAAGCAATGAATTGTATGAAATTATTTTATCATAAATAATAACAATAAAATATAATTTTTTATGTAGTAATTATTTTATTAAAAGAATTCAATATGATTAAAACAAAAAAAACTAAACTACCGAAAAAGATATGTAATAAACCAAAAAGAAAAAAGAAAAAAAAAAATTAAGATACCCCTAAGTTAAATAAAGGATTTTTAATATTTAGTTTCTAGAACGAGAGAAAAAGCAATAAATTATAAACCACGAAGACGAAAACAATAAGAAATGACAATCCATAGGAACGAAAATCAAAAACTCAAAACCATAGGGATGAAAATCAAAATTGCAAAACCACATGAACGAAAACCACAATCTTTCACAAACCAAGGGACGAAAATCATAGTTTACTGTAAATAATAATTAATGTTAATGAAAATTATCATTGAAAAAAGTAAAAAAAATGTCTTCATAAGCTATTACAACTAGTTTATAAAGCAGCTTATGTAAATCAAAATGTGTATATAAAACATAAATTACCTTAGATGATCCACTTCTATATTTTTAGTATTATGATTAATTTTTGTATTTTAAAATATATAAGAAGCAATTTATTTTTTAAAGAAGTAATATTAATTTTGTATTTATATTATCTGCAAAAAAACGTAATATACTCAAATGCTCAATCTTCCAACTTTCACCGTATTTTTTTATATGGATGACACTCAATTATTTCTTAAAATAAATTGGATATATTAATATAGTCGTGTTTAATTGTATTTGTTTTTTATTATTAAAAAGCTAAATTTGATAAGGTGTTAGAATTGTAATTTAATTTATAAACCTTGTTAATTAGTAAGATAATAAATAATATATATATTCAGATTTATTTTTTGCGATATTTGAATTGTCCAAGATTTGTTAATAAAACTTACGTGACAACATATACAAATACCGACTTCTTGATATCTTTTAAATTTAAGATATGATATTAAAGAAGGATCAAAATTAATGTGGGAAACAGCAAAAGGCACATTACAGTAGATGATTATATATGTCGTTGTGTGTTTCTGAAGTGGACCACTATATATGTAGGGTCATACGCGGTGGAGCTTTTCTTTTTGTTCATATTGTCAGGACACTTGAAGTAATGCTAGCCAATGCCTATATATATGCAACCAATTTCATGTAAATCACCAACAATTACTCACAATCTTCATTTTCATTCACCATGGCTATTCACAAAGTCTCTAGTGTGATTTTCTTGGTGTTATTAGGTTTGGGCATTTCTGCTGCGACTAGAGCTCTCTTGACTGTTGAAGAGGGCTACATTCATGGTGGTTTAGAAGGAGGAGGTGGTGGTGGAGGAGGAGGTAGTGGCGGTGGAGGAGGTGGTGGTTATGGGGGAGGAGAACATGGGGGTGGATACGGAGGTGGATCTGGAGCTGGTGAAGGTGGTGGTGCAGGATATGGCGGTGGGGCTGCTGGAGGTGGAGGCGGTGGTGGTGGTAGTGGAGGAGGTAGTGGAGGAGGAGGAGGAGCACACGGTGGGGGCTATGGGGGAGGAGAAGGAGCTGGGAGTGGTGCCGGTGGTGGATATGCAGGTGGTGCTGGAGGAGCTGGTGGTGGAGGTGGGCATGGTGGCGGTGGCGGAGGAGGAGGAGGATCCGGTGCTGGTGCTGGGGGAGCAGGAGGGAGCGGATATGGTAGTGGCGGTGGCGCCGGAGGGGGTGCTGGAGGAGCACATGGTGGACATGCCGGAGGAGGTGGAGGTGGTGGTGGCTCAGGAGGTGGAGGTGGAGGCGGTGGTGGTACCGATCAGCATGGTGGTGCTGGATATGGAAGTGGCAGTGGAAGTGGTGAAGGCGGTGGTCATGGTGGCTATATCCCTTGAAAAGTCCGTCCAAAATGGACGATGGATGATATATAATAAGATTGGAACAAGACATACAGTGTTAATCAAGGGCATCATATATATGTATATCAGTTTGTGATCTTATTCCAAGTGGTTATGAATTTAAATGCTAGCTGGTGTGTTATCTTGATTAATACTACGTACTAATTATCATCCTGGTTTTTTAATTTTTGCCTGCATGACAATCTACAATTCTACATGCATGCGCCATGCAGTAGTGCCTTGTTTATTAATTCGTGAACCTTGAAATCTTGAACAAAACCCCACTACATTACCTTGTCTAATTAATAACTACAACTCTTAAAAATACACACAGAAAGAGAGAGAGAGATATATATATACACATAATATATAGAGAGAGTTGGGTTATTATACAATTCGTACAACCAAAATACAACTCAATCTCAATTTTGGTCTAAATATTTTGTCGTTGTAATATTCAAGTCGTCGCAATATTTGTTATTAATAAATTTGTTTGGTTATATTCTCAATTATAATAAGTTACTTTGATTTGAAAATAACTTAAAAATGGAGTTTTTATTTATCGTCAATATATATTGAATCAGTAATACAAAAGATATAACATAGTAGAAGTATTAATGTCTAAATACATATTAATAGATATCTTATCAGTTTGTTTGGATCATCATCATCGAGTTGTACATTGCTCCTTTTGGTACGTCAAGCCATGGCTGATGCAATTATTGATTGGGTATATATCCATGGTGATTGGAGTCACCATAAGAAACAGAGGTTTTTCGTTGCTAAAAGTCCATTTTATCATCGTGATAGTTTGTGGCTGAAACATGTCACTATGTCGCCAAAGCTCACATTTCTTGTAGTGCGTTTGAACTCAAGACAGCTCCTACCGGCATTAATTAATTGTGTTGATGACTAAAATTGAATTACTCTTAAATTAATCCTTAATTTCTTCCACGCATCAACAAGCGTTGTTCTAAGTTGTGTCAAATGTGTATACATGGACGACAATTTAAAGAAGCACGTAGAACCATTCAACTTGCATCATTGGACTCGGTTGTGTCGGTGACCGTTCACCAAGTACATTGGAGACGCTTTTGTGTCATGTTGATTGGAGATGAGGAGATCAACCCTTCCTCCATAGCTTGTTCTGCACGTAAGCATTATTGCCAAGCTTTGATATTTTTAATAAAAGAACTATTAGTAATACAAATGCTAAAAACATTAGAAACTTAATACAATATCCATCCGAGCGATATCGTTCATCCAAAAAATATAATTATTGTGTAGAATTGTTAAACCATTAATATAATTATTCGACCCATTGGTGCTTGGGATGTGTACTGTTTTCTTCATTTTTGGAGCAAGTTCACTTTCTTAGTAAAGGGTCCAGTGCATGGAGATTGACCCTGGCTAGCTCTATTGTTGGTGTTGGGTTAGCCCTTCGCCTGTAAATGCAATTCGATCTTGTTTTCTTTACGGGTTCGCTTCTCTCATCTCTATATCGATATATTCTTGTAATAATAGAAAGCATAGATCTTTGACAAGTTAGCTACGATTAGTCACCTAGCTAGCGGTGTCTTACATATTTGGATCAAGAAAAATTAAAGTTGAACGTACGGTCTTACCCTATCTCAAACCCTGTTTCACTTGAATTGCAGTAGTAATAAGGTTGTGTGAACACTTAACCCTTTGTCAAAGAAATCGGCCTATTCGATCAAAAGTGTTGGCATGGTCCCATGAAACCGAAAACCCAAATATTTGGTCAACCATGTGATCTCCCACAAGAGAGCCCTTTATTTGCTGATAATGTAGACCCCTCACCACACTGCAGGTCGCTAGCTATAGCTAATGGAGGCACTGCTGTACAGTAATGATCATATAAGATATATACATATATACATATATATATAAGTTTATTAATTTAATTGCTATACACAAAATGAAGCCCACTGCACGTACCTTTTCAATTCTCTCTTCTAATGATCACTTGTTGTAGTAGAAGTTCCAATGTGAGAGATATATTGAAGACATTTGTGCTCGAATTGAAATCGGTCATTGCCTTGAGGCAAGCACCTGCCGGCTTAATTTTGTTAGTGGAGATGTTTGAAATTTTGGTTCCTAACCTTTTTTCCATTTACATATTATTTATATGGGGATCTTCTTTTAAAAAACAATGAAAATATAGTAACCTCGAGAATTTATGCATAAATATGTTGTTTAATATGATCTTTTTCTATTTAAGACTAGGATTTATAATAGTGATTAACATATATTTGTTTCACATGTACTCGGTTCACAATGTGAACATTTTTTATGCGTTTGTGAAATAAAAAATACACGTAAAAGAATTTCATATTGTGAACCGAATATATATAAAACAAACACATTGTGACAAATATGTATTAATCAATACATTAAATATTATATTTTAACGGGAAACAAACTAACGTGAAATAGCACCTTGAGGTATAAGTTCTCATAGATTTCACAAGTTCTGAAGTTATTAAATGATTAAGCCCCTTATATATATATATATATATA